CAGGCCTCGGCAGCGCGGCTCTGCAGAGAGCAGATAGAGACAGACGCTTTCTTCTCCGTGCTGATTATTACTCATTTACAGCACAAACATGATACCACTGTTTAGTCCTCGCTGAATGGAACAGCCCGTTGCGGTGGCGCAGTGGTTGGCCCCATCACCTCAGAAAAGGTTCTTTGTTTGAATCCCATGGTTCCGCAGAGCGGCTGCTTCCAGGTCACGTGACTCTGTAACAGAAGTTTTTAATGCCAGAGCTGACGCTGCTACTTCTGTTCCCTTGCGTTTCCTGTACTTATTGTTTGTTACATCTTGCGAACAACGTGCAACAGTGATTTATTTCTTTGCATCATGCCGCTCGGGCGACACAGAGAGGTGAGAGATCTTCTCAGTTTCCAGAAGACGTTGAACATGACTCGCTGGGGGAAGAAAAAGGGGAATTGGAAATAGCTTCCGTTGAGCAGGTTCGACCAAAATGTGTGAACCGCTCGCTGTAGTGTCAGAGGTGAGACACGTGTTGTTGACTGGTTTAATCGAACTCACACAAAACAAACTGAGCTGACGAGAAGACAAAGTACCGTTTCCCAGGTGAAGAATAACATTTTATGCTCAACATTAGATTTGTTGGACGCTTTGTGTTTCTTCTTTTTGGAACCGAACTATTTTTCCTCCTTGCAGTCTGAGCCAAGTTATGCCAAACAAATCATTGAGCCAAGTCTGTTCTGAATTCACAAAGATGAAATTGATATTGATCTGCACACTTCACGTCTCAGAGCAAACAAGCAGATTGCCAAAATCGGGGAGTATTTTTTAATAATGGCTCCTGGCGAGGTTTCCCAACGAGAGCGCGTCAATCCTCTGAGCGATAGGTGTTTTCTCTCCTGGACTGATGTTACAAACCTTGTAAGACTGATGTCAGGGAGATACTGGTGTAATGGCTGCTCTGAACAATGGGTACATTTTGGGTCCGTCTGTGCCAGAGAGGAAAATCCCTGGAGAGAAATTGATGCAGATTGTGTTTCGCAGCTCGTGATGAATGCACGCCAGAAAAACCCTAAACGAGGGGAGGTGCAGCTGAACAGAGTCAGCACCAGAAAATAATCCCTAACAAAGACCAGGCGATGTCTTGATTATCACTGCAAGACTGTTCCTGGTGTTAAATTATTTATTTCAGCCCTCGTGGTAAAAGCATGATGCCAAACGCTGCTCGCAGGAAACGAAGCTCTGGCTCACGCCAACGCTGAACCTTTCACTTTTCTGGCCCCGCGCTCAGTCAGGTGGTCGAGCCACTGAAGAGCTGCCCAGAGAAGCAGGTGTGATGGCAGCCTGTCGGACGCCGGTGAGATCGAGTGAGTCAATCGCTGTGATTTCAGGTTGTTGTGATGCCTGGCACAGCTGACTGGACTGGGAGGAGGTGGTGGTTAATTGCTGGGGGCGGAGGGGGCGCTGCCACACTCTACGTTATTCATCAGGAGCAACCGGGTCAGAGGCATCACGAATAGTTCACGAATTAATGATCGTTATTCTGGTGATGACCTGGACTTTCATGTTTGAAACTGCCAACATGGAATTTGACTTGTGGTTCAAAAGTAAGAATCATGTCCTCTTCATTGTAATCAGATTACTGCGCTCTTGCAGTACACACACAATATAAACGAACTAATACGTGAAGTCGCAGTTCCTGTTTTCAGAGTTTAAATAAACGTTCCATTCGGTGTAATGAGGAGAACGACTCAGAATAATGTCCTGTTCTCTCCAGACGTTCTCCTTTGGTTCAGTCCACTGAACACAGACCTTCAGGTGGAGGTGATTTAATCGTGGGTGCAACACGCTGATCCACCAACGCCTGATCCTCAGTGGTGCGAAAGCACCGTGAGCGACAGAGGAGGAGACGAGGAGCTCAGACCCGCTGCCTTTCTGCAGTGAGAGGAGCCGTCTGAGGTGTCGGTGGTAACGGTGATCGATACGCGCCCTTGCTTAAGGTCACCTGGTCGCGTGATGGACGGATCCTGTCAGTGACGGATAGTAAATAGTGTTAAAGAGCTGCAGCAGCTGCCTAATGCGGTTTCACTGACCACAAACATGATAAACGAACGTATAATCACCGCTGCTAAGGTGGTTATGGTTTCATTTTGTTTGTCTGATGGGAACAAACACCACAGGACGGACGAGCACGGAATCGCTTCGCTAGGTCGCACCTTTTCATTTTATGTCGGTGTCATCTCAACATTTTCATTAATTTCTCTGAATAATTTATGGATCTCGGGGAAAAAAAAATCCATCAGGGATTGTTTTTTATTAGTGTGCGCAATTTGGTGCTGATCCAAATAAAAATCTGGATCTAGTGAATTTAAATGTGGTTTAAAGAGCCTTGGGAGAAACGTGCGTTCACTGAGTGTCCCATTAAAAATGGAGGATACATTAATGTTGATGTGCATCCGAACCATCTCTCAACCTCAGTCTTGATTTCCTAGAAGCTTTTCTTCTTTGTGATAAAACTGCGTCTCAACAGTCAGACGGTCTCTTAGGTTCAAGCACCTTGGGGGTTTTGTTGTCTGGTGACGAGATGGAGTGACATTGACGGGCTGCAGCGATGCAGACACTGCACTGAACCGCCGAGTTTACGGCAAAGATTCAACTTAATGTTCCACCTAAAGGTCAGAAAATGGGGAAACTTGAGGCCAAGTTGTCAAAGTAACTGATTATTTCGATGCCGTGTTACTTCGCTCCTGGTAATCTGAGGGAATCAGCCAGCGTTGACATTCGTGCTCACTGTTTTTCCATCATGTTTGAGATTTTAACTTAATTCCAAGTCACATTTCTGTACGGTTAATTGTCTCCATCATAACGTCTGACTCCCCCCCGACCCAATGAGATGGGATTATCTTCTGTTGATAGGAGACTTGGACGTTATCAGACATTGGCCACTTCGAAAAATCTACGCAATATTTGGAAAATGTATATTTATATGCACATCCCCCAAAACCACATTTGAATAACATGGCTCTTTATAATTCAATTATATGTGAAGCTGCTCTATTGGACGACTGCATCACTAAGAAAAGGGACGTTTAGCTCAGTCCCTCAGAGCGTCAGAGTGGCACATCTGCCCTGATGTTTAGGTCGTCCATCACTTGTTATCTACACAACCCCCCCCCAAGATCAACCTTGGTTGCTATGGTTACTGCAGACGATAAAAAAGGGGCCCGGTCCTATAATGCAGACAAGTATTGGACTTTGTTAACCTCGGCCTGACCTTGCCTTACGTGCAGTGTCTTATCAGGTAAGATTCTCTAAGTAGCACTGTGCATAAGAGAAAGAACACCAAAAGGAAACCGAGATATAAAAATGAACCTTTTATTAAGTGGTGAGAGGAGAAGCCGACTGCCGCTGCAGCAGGGACCTGGAAGAGCTGACGAAAAGGCAAGGATGCAGTTGCTTTTATTCAAGGGTAAAGAAATGTTGGGCTGATTTAAGAGCAACTTTTTATTTAACCTTAAAACAGCAGCTTCAGAATGGTTGTAATGGTTTTAATGGTTTTCGGGATTGGAGGACGAGGAAGGATTCGTCTTTCCTGAATAGCAGCTATAGCCTGACGTCCATTTTTACTGTTGTTTCATTTAGACTCTACACAAATACTGCAGAAAATCATTTTATTTGTTTTATATTGTTGAGGCTTTTACCCGACTGCACCTTAGTGTGTTTTTTTACACACTTATCTTTCACTTGCTCCCTCTCGCTGCTTTAAAGATGCGTTCAAACATGCACAAAGTTTCATGAATGTCGAAGCCGGAGTCTTTTAAAGAAGAAGATGAGAGAATAACAAGTATAAATGTGCCAAGACCCCATTTCACAAGGCCTCAAAAGGTTAATGGATGTGATGCTCTCAAACACCGAGTGAAACATTTCATCAGTGCATAAAAACAACAAGTGTAAACAACCTCAGTTTGAATAAAAGCCTAATTTCTCCTCAAGCTCCTTCCGACTCTGTGATGTAAAGGACGTGTGCACTTCTTTCACCACAGTTCACACCAGAGACGTTAACGCTGCTCCGACCTCTGATGTGTTTTTTAACCTTTGGCAGAAGTGAACCCGTCACAATGCAACTTCGAACACTTTCGCGGCGCCAACTGCCGACACCTCCGCTGGGATAAATAAGGACCGTATATAATGGCTCACAAAAATAGCATGACATAATTCACTATTGATTTGCTCTCCTGGCTGTCTGATCTTCATTCCGTGACACCGGAGTGGGGGAGAACTCGGAGGCAGCGGCATCGATCAGGTCCAGCCGGCGAGGCAAAATTTCATTTTCGTAAATGCGGCAGCGGTCCTCTGTATTCCATACACCGACACGTGGCCTTGCTTTATGAGTCAAATGTATTGATCCTCTTCATAAAAATATCAGACGGCTCTCGGGGAACAGCAGGTTATCTGTACGACATGTTAATGTGATCTCACTCTGGATCAGAGCCGGTTTGTTCTGGTTTATTATTTAGTTTTGCGACATTTTTAGAAACAGGATCGTTTATTAATGCAGAGAAGATTATTTAATCATGCAGTCATGTATGATGAAACTCAGACGGCAAAACATGAACTCTCAAGCACTGGAAACAGCGGGGAAACTAGAGTGACTCACTGTGGTGCAACGGTCCCACAATGAAACCACATTTGAATTCTCTCATAAATATCAGTCGTCCAGAATGCATGAATTATTCGGAGAAATCTGCAAAAATGTTGGAAAAATAATTAGATTCTTCCCTGAAGCAAACCAAACCCGTCCATCGAGTTTTATCTTTTCACGTAATGCTGCTAAATAACAGACAGGTGAGAAAGGTCAACAGTTAAAGTCATAACTTTGGTCTGGAAATCTCATAATTTAATTGCTCGTCGCTAAAATCTAAACAGGTCAATGCAAAGTCAAGAAGAAATGAAGTCACTATTCTAGTTGAGCCACTTGTCGATAGATGTTGAATGACGCCACGTGTATTTCTCTCTACAGATGTCGTCCCTGATGCGGTGCCCCTCCCGCTGTCCCCCGTGCTCAGAACGGCACAACTCCTGGCGACCCCTACGATGCCGGCGCCCGCGGCCTCGCCGATAGTCCCGCACAGCGCGGCAGCAACAGCCCCGGAGTCTACCTCAGCTGCTGGAGGGGACGAGAAGCAGCTCAAGCTCGACTCGCCCCCAGAACCAGACCCGGAGCCCGAGGCCGAACCCGAGGCGGAGACGGATGCGGAAACGGAGCAGGAGAAGGCTCGACGTCTCCTCTACTGCTCGCTCTGCAAAGTGGCCGTCAACTCGGCGTCGCAGCTGGAGGCTCACAACAGCGGTGAGTCATGTGACAGCATTATCGGTCCGTCCTTTACCGTCAAAATTAAGCGAAAGCATCAGGAGACGATTGATGACAGGCCGAGGGAATAAGAAGCTAAAACCCGTGGAGCCGACTGCGCTACAACTGGTTCATCGATACACCAGTATGGGTCACTGGCTCCATCCTGGAGTCTCTGCTGTGGTTGGTGTCTTTCCTTGGAAATGCATCATGAATCATTTGCGGCCTCTTAAGCCTGTTTGTTGTATTTGTCCTTTAATAATATATTGTTTGTGTTCCCTGATGTTTCATCTTCACATGAGGTGGACTGGTTTTACAGTTCCGAGTCAAAAGTCAAGAATCTAGGACACGACGGAGCTGTGCTTCATAGATTTTTGATAAGCAACATTCTACTAGGTTTATTTCTCACGTCACAATTTTCCATCTCAGAGAGGCCTCTGACCTCTGACCTCTCTCCTTCAGGTACGAAGCACAAGACGATGCTGGAGGCCAGGAGCGGCGTGGGCTCCATCAAGTCCTTCCCCCGGCTGGGAGTCAAGAGCAAAGTGGCCACGTTGACAAAATCATTGACGGGTCTGCAGAACAAAACGTTTCACTGTGAGACGTGTGATGTGCATGTCAACTCAGAGACTCAGCTAAAACAGGTGAGCGCGACAGGAAAGAGGGATGACTGTACAGACGGGTCGTTACTGTGGCAGGTTTAAAACAAGGAATCCTCCATTTTGCATTAATTGAACCACTGTGTTAATTGTTAGCCGAGTTTCTTTTTTTATTGTATCCAGGTCACCAGTTTTAAAATGAGATCCTTTTTAAATGTGGTAAAAGACTGAAGCTAAAGCAAAAAGCTCTCGGGCAAAATCATCATCCCCAGCAGATGAACCATGAAGAAAATAAAACAAAGCAGCTTTGTTTTAAAATCTAAAAACAAAAGACACCACACTCCGAACCCTCGTAGCGTTGAGGGATGGTGGCTATTACCTATGATCGGACCCTCCAATGTAAAGATGGACGATGCGTCTCCGATCCCTCCCGTTGTATGAAAATGAATCCGATACATCCTGGATACGGGATCTTGCACTCTTGAGTCGTTGCAGTAGTGATCGTGGAGCGGAAGCCGTGGTGTCATCAACCGATCGTCTTTCACAGAAACGTGAACACGCATCAGTGCGATAAGAAAAAGTGACAGGAACCATCTTCGAGAAAAATATATATTTCACCTGTGTTTCGACTTTTTAGTTTGGTCCATCTGCTAACACGGAGGAGGCCGGGTTAATGGCCAGCCACCAGGGGGCAACCGAGTCGATCTGGCTTCACTTTTGAAGAGCCGTCATGTCGTCCATCTTTATATAAAGTCTATAGATCTGTGGGTTCTTAACAGGAAGCAGTAGATATTTCTGCTCTACTTCTCTTTTTTAAGAACCCACTCATTTTATTGAAGTATGGGACTTCCCTACTTCCCTTCCTGAAGATATACATGTATATTCGGGGGGGGGAAACAAAGATGCACCGCTGCTGGTAATGATCTTTTCTGTTCATCCTGCCGTGCTGCTGTCTCAGCGTCAAGCCTTTTTCATGCTCTGCTGCAAGAACTCAAAGGAAATCTGGTTAAGCGCAGGCAGCACGAGTCCAGGAAATCAGATTCCTCCAGTAAAAACACAGCAAACCCACTTTCTCCTTCATCTCTCCTCAAATAAGGAAAAGCATCTCTAGTTTACATGACGTTAAGGAAATCAGGTTGGCGTGGAAAGCTCGGAGCCATCTGATCTCTTTGTGATATTTTCCTCAGTGCGGAGGGATGTGTATCTCTGCTCGTCGCTGCGGGGCACGTCGTGAATCTCCTTCTCTTCTAGCTACTGATCGTCGTGTCATGGGGCGAGTTTCATCTACAATACTTGAAACTCTGTGTTGTCTTAGCTAACCTTGAGATTTCTCACTGGAAACACACACACACACACACACACTCAGGCCTCGTATGAATTTTTCATGCAGAGACTTTCACTGAGTTCTTCTGAAAAAGCAGCGATTCTCTGTGAAGAGAATCCAGTGTGACAAATATCCGTTACAGCTCGAAACCAGAGGAAGAGTGTGATTGTTAAATCCACTGTAAGAACTTGTGAAGGAAAAAAACAGCTTTTTTCTCCCCACGTGTGCTCGCACTGAATTATTTATTGGTTTGAGGTTATTTTGGAATATGTCATCACAGATTCTTTTACTTGTTTACTCTCACTCACACTTGTTTCTCGTCTTTTAACATCAGAAATCATTTATTAGGAAATCACATCCTCCGCAGCCGTTCTCAGCACGACGCACTGCGTCTGACGCAGGAACTTAGTGTATTGTTTGGTCTGCGCTGCGGCAGCGATGTTACTGCTCACATCATCACCACGGGGGGGCTCAGTGAGGATGAACCCTCCAAAGCTGTGGGACTTTTTTTTTCGCCCTGAGACATTGAGTGTATTTTTAGCCTGCGCCCTGTCTGTCAGGTTCCCACCTCAGCCAATGATAAGCTATCTGAGCTGAACCGGCATCAAGCCTGAGGCTGAGATAACTGGCGTCTATATCACAGCTCATCTGTTATGTTTTTAAAAATAAAACTACAAATTAAATTCACCGTTGCAACAGCTCAGACTTAAATTTAAATTAAACTGGGTTTGGGTCCTGAGCGATCTGGTCACCAGCGCTCAGATCTACGTTCAGGTGTGAACGCACCACTGATGCATTTGAGCTCCGATCACTCCGACCACGTTTGGAGGAGGTGTGAGAAACACGTGGCCACATTCTCCGGACTGAGAACGTGAACTTGACTAAGGTCGTACTCAGAAGAAGCAGTAACTGAATTAAGACTTGTGGAGAATTCTGTGTTCGTCTAAATCACATTGTGTTTTCACGTACGACAGTCACCAACGGCTTGAAGACACATTAGAAGGACCTCACTCCGAGTGGTCTATGGTGCAATCGTACATGAAACAAGTTTTAACATCAGACATAATGACGCAATATGAGGGAATATGAATAATGAATAGAATTTTCTATTAGAAACTCATTTTATGATTTATTTTAATCAAAAATCATGTCTTATTCTGGACAAAGGTCAATAGTGGGAATATTACTTGTACACAACATCAGAGAAAATTTTAAAAATCATATTTCACTGTAAAGTCACACACACACACACACACACACACAGACACACAAACATCTGTGTAGTCAGACTGGCCTCAAACGACATCATTTGGTTTTCACCAACAGAAATGCAGAGAATCAATCACAAGCGCTCGCGGGAGACCCACGGTGTTGAATGCATCCCAATAAAAAATAAATGTCATCAACTCGGGCTACAATCATCAGGTTTTCGGTTCATCGATATGAATCCGTTCATATCACGAGGACGCACCGGGGCGATCTGCATTGTTTTTCCTACGTTGCCATGGTTACACAGCCATCATAAAATGTGGAAAAACAGTTGCGTGCGTTCATCTGAGCGTCGGCCAACGTCTCTCGTCACCGCTGCTGCCAGGGTGGGCAGCAGCGACCGTCTTTATGTTTGTGCTGGAAACAACAGTGACAGCACCTTCCTCGAGTTTTTTTCCTTTTTCTTTTTTCTGCTTCCACTTTCCTGGCTTGTCACGGAGGCCACAGTGAAACTGACTCCCGCAAATATTCAGTGAAAAATTACACAAGGGAATGTGTATTTTAGGAATTCATAATTCACGGGTAGACGGGAATGGAGATTAATTATTTGCTGTATTTTTTTTATTTTTTTTTAAAATTCAAAGTAAATGTGTGTATTTGAGTTGTACCTGAAAGTGACATGACACCCACAGCGGAGTGTGACTCAGGACTGACACCTCTCCGTTTCATTTCCAGCACATCAGCAGCCGGCGTCACAAAGACCGGGCAGCAGGTAAACCAGCCAAACCCAAATACAGCCCCTACAGCAAACCGCAGAAAGGCCAGACCAAGCAGCCGGTGAGTCACTGAACGCCTCGCTCATCTCATCAGCACAAGTCGTGGTGTCGACAAAACAATCCCAGCTCCGTTAGACTCTAATGAGACGAACGTATCCACACGTCTGAGGCGCTTATTGCTTGATATCTGACTGTGACATCGTCATTCTCCAATTCCCGCGTCTTCCCGTCTCGATACAAACAAAGTCCATTGTTCTCTCGTACTGTTTGTGTGGGAGGGAACAACACACACACACACACACACACACACACACACACGGGCAGAAGTTTTGTTTTACACTTGTTTTGTTTGTCAAAAAGGAAAATGTGCTCTTTACGCTGCTCTCTGTGAAGTCTCATTCAATCCCCTGTGACTGCAACCAATTCAATTAGATGTCAGCTTTCATTAGTGTTACCGCGCTTTTATTAGAAATGGCAAAAACCTGTGGCAGCGAGCTCCGTGATTTCAGATTAAAACTTCATATTTTATTGACAAATGGCAAAAAAAAAGAAAGTCTCAACTGAGCCAGAAAACTGGAGGAAGAATGCAGACTCCGGTCAAAAACTATTTAGGTGATTGTAAATGTCAGTTTTCACTAACTCTGACGACCTCTGCATGTGAACTGCATCAGGTCAGATTATCAGGCAACCTGAGAATCCGCTGATTAGATTAAGTTCACTGACGTGT